AAAATAAGAAAAGTTGAAGGCAGATTCAGACAGGAGACCGGATCCTAAAGTGCACAATGATGTATGATGGCTTTATTCATCCTAACCTGCAGCCTGTTGCCTCTTTTATCAGTATACAGATTCCAGATGGTCGGACTTTACTGCGAAATAACTTTAATTAACTTGTACTCGTTCTACTGTCCCCTGTGGCAAACATCACCCACTTTTAACTCTAATTAGACCAAAACAAGAATCTTAATCTGACTGAAATAAATGGATGTGTCAGACTTTTATTTATCTTATTGGAACACTGTAAGTTGACAAGATTTCTTTATATGAACACTGCAAAGATGATAATAGACAGAAGCCGTTTTTCTGACATGAACTCTGGAAATGTATATAAACGTCAGGGCATGTTGTATAAATCCTGCGGCAGAAAATGAAGTTGACATTTTTGTCTGCATGTACATGACTTTGTTTTAAGTCCTGAGATAATTGTATTGTTTTTATCAGCTTTTTGTCTGTTGTGTGTTAGACACATCATCAACATGTCTACTAGCTTGTGGTCTACGGAGATTATCCTGCTGTAGTCTCACATGAGTTCACTCAGACGTTCTCTGGAGTTTTTATTAGGGTGCTGGCAGAAAAACCTCTGGAAAAAAGCTTGAAGCAACTAACTCTTACATTTGCAATCTCACATACAGCCCTTCCGGATATTTTCGGGAGAATATCCAGAGTTCAGACTTCAGTTGCCATGTCTGACAGCAGCTTTAGACATGACTGAAGAATGTCTTTGCCGCAGTGACCTTGTACAGTAGTATAGTCGTAACTGGTCCTCTTGGTTAGGAGGGGACGGAATGAAGGGAGATAAGATTTACTTGGTTTTCTCTACTCTTTTTTCATTGCTCTCTCATCCCAGATGCTGCCGGTATGTATGACTGAAAGCTCTGGTAGTCCATGTGTGTTTGAGTTCTTCACCTTCCTCCCTCTTCCTCCTCTCATTACCTCATATCAGCACCAACATCCACTGTCATGCCACTGTTTTGACTTGTTGTCTTGTTATTTGTTTTAGTGGGTTTACAAATATTTGCGAATGTGAATATTTCTTAAACACCAGAATAAAGATACTTCTCTGTGCCCCCCCCCCTCGCTGCATCCCTCTAGTGGCCTATCTTTGAATTACTCACCCTACGAGTGAAACATCCTGCTGTCTCTTCAGAATCAGAATCAGAATCAGAATTCTTTTGGATTAGTTACACAGCAACTCAGAAATAAACACCATTTCTCTTATTAATGAGGAACTAGTAATTTCAAGTTCTCTTTATGAGCTATTCATCACTTATCATATGAGTTGCTGTAATTTATTTTAGTTCTTATGCAGCAGAAACATGAACATTTTCTAAAATTCATATGTCGAAGCAATGCAGAATGAAATCTCAAGTGTCCTTTATGTTAAAAAGACCCACATGTGACTTTGTTGACAAAACAAGTTCCACCTTCTGTTGAAGAACATCATATGCTTGAAAGTTCCAGACAATCAAATAAATTGATCATGACATTTCTCAACATATCATAACATCTTTTATTTCCAATAAAATCCCTTGTTTGGGAGTTAGACTTTCTGACTCTCTAATGCATAAATGGATAAATATAATGTATTCATAGTAAATAAAAAAAAAAAAAGTGTGTGCTATCAATACATGCTCATATGTGATGTGTCGTCTTGTTTTACATGTAAATATGGAAATGAAAGATGCACAACTGATGGATCTCCTGATGCTGACGTCGTTCTTTGACTGTGTGCTCATTTAGCTCAGATCCAGGGCGAGGTGGAGCGTATCTTTGAGCTGGCACGCAGCCTGCAGCTGGTCATTCTGGATGCAGACACAGTCAATCATCCTCTCCAGGTGGCTAAGACCTCTCTGGCTCCAATCCTCGTCTACGTCAAGATCTCCTCACCAAAAGTAAGCTAGTTATATTAAGCTAATTAGACTGAAAACAAACAATGTGATTGACCAAGTTCTTTTCGACTGATTCTGGTCCCCAGTTCTCGCAGTATTTTGTACTGTTTATGTTTCTTGATTTCCTGTAAAACACCAGCATGTACTGTCGACTGCTTTCTCTCTCATTTCACTGTCTTCACTTCTGTTGTGTAGGTGTTGACCAGACTGATCAAGACGAGAGGGAAGTCTCAGACCAAACATCTTAACGTTCAGATGGTGGCAGCAGACAAGCTCGCCCAGTGTCCGCCAGTGAGTGCCATCTAGCAGCCCCTGTGTAAAATTGGTGCAGTGGGAGTGAATGAACGCTGAATGAATGAATAGATGGACTGAATGATAGTGTGGTATATCACGTTTAATATCTCACTTCATGTCTAGATGTGTACATTTAGATTTGTTTCTCCAATTAAAGTTGAAACCTATTGCGAAGGGCCGTAGCCTCCATTGACGAAAAAAAGACAACACAGTAGTTTTCTTTCCTGGGAGGATGTTGCAGCTTTACATGATTAATGTTTTGTTAAAGCTGAATACAAAAAAATTCAGCATATTTCTCTTTGATGCCAAATGCAGTCTTCACTGAATTTTCACATCACTGTTCATCTGTGTCTCCCCTTTTTCTCATGACCTTATTTCCTTACATCTCTTTATCTGAATCTCACTGCAAGACCGATTTAATTTTAAAACACTATGCTAGTTACATTTTGGTTTTGTCTTGCTTCGTTCTTGTTCTTTTACTTATTATCTTTCCCTTTTTTGTGTTTCTCTGAAGGAAATGTTTGATGTTATCTTAGATGAAAACCAGCTAACAGACGCCTGTGAGCACATTGCTGATTACCTGGAGTCTTACTGGAGAGCCACTCATCCGCCAGAAATGGAGCCTGCCAACGCACTGGTGGCACAGCTGGCCGAGAATACATTGCCCATCAATCCTACAGGATTGCCGGTAGATCAAACACAGAAACATACTGTACACAGGGGAAAAACCATGTGCACAGTAACGTTATAGACTTTAATATCATTCATACTGTCATCTCATCCCATTCCTATCATCTGTATCAGAGTCCGCTGAATATGGATAAACTGGAATAGTAATGTTAACGTCAGAAACGCATGTATTCGTTTTCATTTTTTCATCTAACATTTTCATTTCATTTCTCTTCATCCCACTGGAAAGTCGCTGAAATGAGATAGATCTGCCTCTGGTGAGTGAGATACCTTCAAATTCTACTGTAGCTGCATTTTCACCATTCACAAAAGAACATGTCCATCATTCTTCACATTAACTTGTTGCTAGTTGTAACACAACTCCTCATGTTCATCTCCCCATTAACTCACAGTCAGTCTTGCAAATAACAATGATAACAATGCGATATGGAATAGAAAGACTGGTGCCAGTTTTATTTCCACTCCTCAGCCTGAACGTCTGATAATCACAGCTTAAACTGTCAGAATGAGGCCCAGCCAGTTCACTAGTTACACTGTAGGTCAATTAAAAAATAGACCTAGAAGTCATTGAAAGTCAGCGTTTGTCTTTAATGTTAGCATGTCTTATTTTCTTATC